CGATCGAGGGAGAAGCCTAGGGAGAGTTCGAAGCACGTGTTGACGGTCGCCGCGAGGACCAGCGGCCCCGACCCTCTCGAAGCGTACGTCAAGTTGGTGGTCAAGGTGTCGGACGTGAACGACAATCCGCCCATTTTCACCCAAACCCAGTACTCGGCCACCGTTCTGGAGGGGAACGTGAAAGGGGACTTTGTCGTCAAGGTAAGGAAGGAAGGAAGGAAGAGAGGAAAACAAAATTTGTGGCGACGTCTCGTCCATGTTTTTGCGCAGCTTTCGGCGAGCGACGCGGATCAAGGGATGAACGGTAGAATTCTGTATCATATCGTGGACGGGAATCCGGACAACGCGTTCACCATAAGCCCACCTTACAGCGGAATAGTTCGGACCAACATCGTGCTGGATCGGGAGATTCGGGAAAAGTACAGGCTGACGATAATCGCGACGGATCAAGGGAATCCCCAGTTGACCGGGACGGCTGCGCTCAGCGTCAGGGTGATCGACATCAACGACAATCAACCGACGTTTCCGGAGCACAGTATCATCTCCGTTTCGGAAGGTAAGCCATTTTTCGAGCAACCGTTGGTTTCAACGTCGTTGAAATGAAGGAGAAACGTTTCGAAAAACGAAACGTTCGAATTAATTGCGCGGCCTCGTCGTAACGACCTCGGACGAAGGTTAACCGACGATTATTAGCCTCCGTCGGTTGGCGATCGCGCGGGAACAAATTACGACGCGAATACGCGTACACCTCTTTAATTTCGATCCGCGCTGTTGTCGCTCGCAATTAACTCCTTCGCGAGCAGGTTGCCGCTCGATAACGACCTTGTTTTCTAACCTAATTGTCTAATAAATTGGAGAATAAGCGAGATATTCTCCGCGAGGGAAAGATTCAATTTTCTTATTTATTACAAAGTTGAAACTGTTTACGATTCGATTTTGCGTAAAATTCGCCAATCTTAATTCGCCCGAGATTTAGGGACTACTTTCGTCGCGTGAGAAACGAAACGATCGTGCGCGGAGAAGAGAGAGAGAGTGAAAGCAATAGAGGGAAGAAAAAAGAAGGAAGGGGCGCGAGTATTTCAAGGTGGGAGCGCGTACCACCACTACTCTCCAAGTATAAAGTTAAGTGGCAAAGGATTTATGCCGGCATTAAAGTCCAACTGTTCGGAACAATCTGCATAACTTAGGCGAGGCTGCGAACGTCCGTTCGGATAACTCCCTCCCTTCCTGTTTGTTTCCTTCTCCGTTTCGTATCGTTCCTCCATTGACAGATATGATTCAATGGAACGGGTACTCGAGTTTGACGAGCGTCCAACGTTTACGTTCGAAGAAAATCGGATCGAAAGATCTCCCTCTCCCTCTCTCTCTCTCTCTCTCTCTCTCCGCGTTTTATCGACGAGATTTAAACGCTTCGTGTAATTTAATTTTTCGTCCCATTGGTTTTTTCTTTAAATATCCTTTAATTCGCTCGACAAGAATCCACTAAAACTACTAGCATTTCAGCTCAGAATTTCGTTTTTAACAATTTAAATGTGCGTTCGGGGGCGTAAAACGAGAGGTTCGTCCAAGGGATTGGATTTAATCGAGAGGATGGATCGAAAAGTGGCGGCGGGTGACACGAGAAATGGAAACAATGGTAGACCACCGACGAGCGCGTTTTCCGTACAAGGAGTACACACCGCCGACATCGCGTACACTCGTATTTACGCGGCCGGTATCCACAGCGGGGACGAGGAGACCTCCGGTAATCGGAATTACCGCGATATAACTTAGGGAAGATGTAGCGAGATCGGACGCGAATTTATTATTTGTACGCCTCCCTCCCCTCCCCTTGCCCCGATATCGCTACCACACCCGATAGAGAGATCTTTGTTTCGGCTTCCACGCTACGAGCACGCGTTCGTTCGAGGACCGCTCTCGAAACCGATTTACGCCACTTTAACGATCCACCCGTGAAATTTACGAGCGAAGAACGGCGGTGATGGTGCCGCGCGTGCACAACCTGGTCCCATATTCCCCGTTTTCCTTTTTATCTCAACACTCTCCTCTACTTTATTATTGTTCGGCCAGGATGACGGTGGTGGTAATTTGGCCACGAGATTATCGCCTACGATCCGCAGACCTACGAATCTTCTCCGGCCGAGCGTTCTTCTCGGCGCTAGCCAGATAGAGGGAAACGATAAGCGAGGATTCGATGCATTTTAAACGCGACTCCCTCGAACTGTCTTTAGCTTCGCGGAAGAGCTTGTATATGCATATACGCACACGCGTATACGCGCACGAGTATACGTATCGCGAATGATCGTGACAAAGTGGTTCCAGGCTCGGAGGAAAGAGGTCGTGATGACGAGACGCCATCGGTGAAATTGTTTTCTCGGCCGGTTAGACAAAATGATAAACGTTAGATTTTTCCACAGGTACGGCGGTTGGAACCGTGTTGACCACGATCACGGCCAACGACGTGGACAGTTCCCCGGCCTTGACCTATCGATTCGGCAACGCGACCGACCCAGGCCC